AATTTTTCGTTTCGCTCCAGTATCGTGCCCGAAGGGCTCGGAACAAAAAATGCAGTTTCCAAAAATTTTGCATTGCAAAGAGCAGATTTTGCGAGTGTTATTTGCAGGATAAACGCAGCAGAAACCCGTTCTCGGGGTGCCTGAGACTAGCACATCTAGAAATTGAGACCTGTTCACATTCACATTTAAAAAAATACCAGTAGATCTAGGATTATTAATGCACGTCATGAACTTTTGCACCAATAGTTCAAGTCAAACAAATCCGACAAAAACGCCATAAACTAACCGATGTTTTAGTTATAAAAATCTGCATAAACAATCTGATGTAAAAGTTGGAAATTATTGAGTGTTTTATCTTATCTTCATGGACTGTTTTGGTAATTTGGTTGCGTGCATTAATCAATGCTGAATTGGTTAATAGTTGGAAAAATGCCCGCAATCATCGACTAAATTGTTGTGGGAAATACTTCAACAAAACTCAAAATTTCATCAGGTTTTTTCAGGAAAAGATCCTGGAACCCAACTGGACCTTTTCGAAGTCTTCGAGATGGGGGTTTACTGCGGCAGCTGAAGGTTAAGGAATATTTTCAGTTAGAGGGAACAATCGTGAACATAACAGAACAAATGTATATATAAACATACGTAAACGAAGCGGGTATTTACAGAATACAAATGACAATTTTCCAAACATTTCCACAAATTCTAGTGAATCGACTTGATGAAAACAAATGGTGTTTTTGTTTGGTTTGTTGGAGAACTAGTTATTCCCAATAGTTTTCTGACGAATTCGACCAGCCAACGTTGCATCAGCTTCGCACTATTCGGGCGAACAACATCTTGAAAATTTTGCAACCAAATTTGCCATCAAAACAATAATAATTATGAAGTGTTGCCGACATGATTTTCGGCGCTCAACCATTTCATCATCTTATCATCGGCAGTAGCGGTTCGAATCAAATGTTACATCATCCGAAGCGAACGAGTCGCGCCCTCCGTACCGAATATAAGACAAGCAAGAGCTTTCGTTCCATTCATTCTTGAAGCTCTCTGCTGACAGTTAACGTGCTTTATACAGTGTGGTGAAGAAGTATCGAAAATCTTTTCGAAAATGTCGAAAACTGGCGAAACTGGAATTGACTACAGTCACTTTATTAGTGTTCGGGCTGGCAGAAGACGACCGGCGCTAACAAGGGAGCTGAGTAAGTTTCTTATTGTTAAAATGCAAGATGACCAGGAACACTGAGAAGAAACTGACTAAATTTTTTCGTTTTAACGGCGTTTTATTCATATTTTGTGTTTGGCGCTCAAGGTGATAAGACTCTGTAGCAGTCGATGATCAAAACCCTTTCTACATTATTTGGCCTATTTCAAAAACGTTTAAATTTAAAAAGTTAGCAGATTCTGAAAGTTGCACTTCTTCTTATAGCTTAGACGCACGCAACACTCAGTACAAATATATCAGACCTCAGGGCAAATACAAAAGACTCAGGCATTTAAAAACTGTCTTTTTTCACACCTTCGAATTTACATTTTTCGAGTAGAAGACCTCCAGATCGTCAGTATTTTTAAGTGAATCTGTCCCAAATGGGGCGTTTTTGAGTAGAAGTAAAGCAAAAAAAATCAGTCGAAACTAAAAAAACACATTTTTTAGCAAACTCTAGTGTCTTGGTCAGAGGTATGGAGG